GTAGCTGAATTATGCATATTTAGCCTGAGGGGACACTTTTTTGGGTGAAAGGAAATGAACTTTTGTATAACAGTGAGCTTCCAAGTGTAACCAAAGGGCAGAAGCTACTGGAGGCAGATTTCAGCTGAACACAAGAAAGAACTCTCTATTGGTCTTTCTTTAAAAGAGAGTAACTCGTCTTGGCAGGTTGTCACGAGAGAGGCTCAAATATAACCCCATTTGGTGGTATATTACAGAAAATTATGAGAGTTGGACAAGATGACCTTTAAGCTTCTTTCCAGGGCTGGATTTTCTCATACCACCTCCCCCACTCTCACCATCGTCTCTCAGAGACCTTCTGCTTAAACCTTTTCGTGACCTTCATCACCTGCTGATTCAAGACCATGCTTTATAGCATAGCACACAGGAACCTCCCTCTCCCACATCTCCACTCACATCCCTACCCAAAACGAAGCAATAGCAAACCACTTAACGGTGCTCTGCACACTCGTGCTGCGCTCTGTGCTGAAGATGCCCTCCCCTCTTCCTTTGCCTGGGCTTTTATTCTCTGATACTCTCTCCAACACTCTGTTCCGGCACTGCAGTGGATGTCTGTCACCTCTGTACGCACCTTAATTTCCAACTGGTAAAGTAATTCTGTGTTTTGATGCAAGGGTAACTGCAGGGGCCTGCCTCCCACTACCATTCGGAAGGAAGTTGAGGGAGTCAAATACTTCCCTATCAGTCTCTAGTTCCAGCTAGGAGGCAGGCAGGTGACAACAGACCAGCCAACTGGGCCTTCTCTCCAGGTGTTTTGAATACAAAGATGATTTGTCTGGTGGTGCAGGGGCAGGTAGAAAGGTGTCCTGAACAGGCTGTTCCAGCAATAACATGGTTGCTGTCTCACTTTTTCTATCCCTGATACCTATGCATTTCTAGGCCAATTAATATTTATAAAATGAATGAACGAAGAAGTACAGGGGTAAAGGTCAAAGACTAAATTTAAAGCAAATTACATGCACGACTGGAACATTTAATGATCAGAACCAGAGGTAAAAAAAGGGAAATAAAGATAAATGATCCTACCACTAAAAGAAACGAGGAAGAATGGTAAATTTTATTGTAATTCCCTCCTCCAACATAACTTCATTTATATACACACCAACTCTTCTCCACTGGGGATGACAATAGTTCTATTATTTTAGGCTGAGTTAGCTTCCTGGTCCCTGTTTAGATGGGCCTCAGGCCAGTGGCCTTGCCCTTATCCTCAGAGATTGTTAAAGAACTTGTCAAATAGCACACATCCAGGAGAATTGAAAGATGACTTGGAGACTTCAAGATATGAAGCCACTAAGAAAAGGCTGGAAGAAAATGCTGAACTTTTTGAACTTCATGAAGTAGGTAGAGATGACGGTAGAGATGACCTGAGGCAGCAAGAAGTAGGCCATGCCTAGATGATACTTTATTGGGTTTATAAATCTTAAAGCTGGTGCTATCACTACTGCATATTTCTCATCATGTGCAGCTCTGTGCATGTGCAGAATCAATAATTTAGTGTTTTTCTTCAGCAGGTAGAAACATGAATTCATTCAATAAATATAAGGTGCCCCCCCCCCAAAATGTACATACACTTTAACAGCTGATAGCTCAATTTTCACTCCTTTTCAGGTTGAACTGATTTGAAATAATAAATGGGTGAAGCCGGAGCATTCATTCAATAAATATAAGGTGTCCCCCCCAAAAATGTACATACACTTTAACAGCTGATAACTCAATTTTCACTCCTTTTCAGGTTTAACTGATTTGAAATAATAAATGGGTGAAGCTGGACTAAGCTCTGAACAAAGAAAATTTATCCTAAAGTGCCACTACACTTTTTTTTATGGGGACACATAAGAGATAAAGTTTATGGTACAAAACCAGGAATAGTCGATGAATTGAGGGTGCACAAATACTGAACGAAATGATTCTTGATGTTTGCAATTCCATTGCTTGGCGTTCTCAGCAGTGCCCGATCCAGAACAATCATCAGTTTGAAAACAGTCATTGACAAAAAATTATTCATTTCTGTAGATTCGTTTAAATTTTGAAAATAAACTATATGTTAAGAAACACTGACTTTATAATCATTCAAAGTGTGTACACATTTTTTGGGACACCCTGTATTTACTGGGCACCTACTCTGTGCCATGCTTTGTTGTAGGCAGTATTACAGTAGTAAAAAAGCTACACTCATGGAGACACAGTCATTGACAAAAAAATTATTCATTTCTGTAGATTTGTTTAAATTTTGAAAATGAACTGTTTGTTAATAAACACTGACTTTATAATCAAAGTGTGTACACATTTTTTGGGACACCCTGTATTTACTGGGCACCTACTCTGTGTCATGCTTTGTTGTAGGCAGTATTACAGTAGTGAAAAAGCTACACTCATGGAGACAAATTAATACTACTTAATTTATTTGTTCACTTGATCATGTGCTATGAACAATATTATATTAGCACATGGACAGACAAATGAGGTCAACAAAAGGAGAGAAAGAGAAAAATAAGATGGACAAAACTTTAATATTAATTCTTTTTTCTGGGACTTCTGATAAACCAATCAAGAAATATTTATTGGATAATGAGCTAGAATATTTATGTAGGCTCAAAGTGGATTCTAGGATGTGTCACACATATTTTAAAAATGTATTCAGTTTGAACTACACAGTAAGATATAAAAATTACACAGAAATTCATGCTTAAAAAAAGACCTGTTTATTACTGACAACACTTCATTTGGCTAAAACCACAAGAAATCCACAACACAAATACTTAAAGTGCAAATTCTCAGTATTTAACACCCTGGTGTTTTCTTGGGGGAGAGGGGATGGGAAGATATTGACAGAAACTGTTAAAACAAGGGCATAATTTTGAACTACTTCTACACAGTCAGAAAAATAATTCATTCTTAACTGCACACAATTTATCTGGCATAGTCAATGATGTATACGAAGAGCTTATTTTAGCCCAAAACAAGAAGGCCTCACCATATATAGATGTGGACTCTGGAGTGGCTCTTGTCAGATAGATGCTGAATCATAACACTTGAACAAAAATATACCAAATAACACTAAATTAGTTGTGACTCACTTGGACGGTAGCACTAGCAGGCTCAAAATGGCACTTGTATTCGTGATGTTAAGTCTACATAAACACTTTCTTAGCCTTCTTGGCCAATAACTTACTTTGAGTGTAAAATACTAGGCATTATACACAATTTCAAAATAAGAATATGCTCTGCTTTTTCCAAAGAAACTGAGTATTTAAGGATGTGTGTGCTTAATAAACATTACTTATAAATTTTAGTGGTGAGGATTAATATTTTTATTGTTTATCAAACTATTTGCTTCTTTAAAATAAACTCCCTTACTATTATCACTCATTAAGCACTCCATAACAGGTACTATATACTAACTAGATAACTTACTTTGAGTGTAAAATACTAGGCATTATACACAATTTCAAAATAAGAATATGCTCTGCTTTTTCCAAAGAAACTGAGTATTTAAGGATGTGTGTGCTTAATAAACATTACTTATAAATTTTAGTGGTGAGGATTAATATTTTTATTGTTTATCAAACTATTTGCTTCTTTAAAATAAAATCCCTTAATTACTATTATCACCAATTAAGCACTCCATAACAGGTACTATATACTAGGTGGTGTGGATATGAAAAATAATAAATGCAGCTGATAGTCAAGAAAGATCGTAGTCAAGGAATGCCAATAAATTAAAGAGAACAAGTGGCCAATACCTCTAACTATATTATAAGGTTCGTTGGTAACATAACTGCTCCAGGTCAGTTTCACCTGTCATCAGTACTTTCAAAGGTCAGCTACTGAGGGGCAGGAAATATCCTATCTATGTTCTCTGTTTCTATGTCTCACACCCGAGTCAGTGTGTGTACGCCCAGGGATAGGCGGCAATTGGAGGGGGTTTTGGAGGAGAAAACGGAGAGGCCACGTGATAAACACGGTGCTCCTTTCTGGCGGCACCAGTTTTGGTGAAGATTGAAGGAGTCGTTTTTATAGCAACACGGTTTTATTATGGAGAATGCAAAACCCGCTTACATTTCTGAGACAGGACATGAACTTCATGAGGGGTCGGCTGCTTCTGATTTTGCTCTCAGACCCCTTCCCTGCACATTCTGCTTCAGGGTCGTGCTGATGGAGAAATCTGAGAAGCAAACTTTAGCTAGGTCACTTTGCCCTTGGTCGCTTTACTCATTCTTTATGTTCTCTCTTTTAAGTACATAGTCTTTAATGAATAAAGAGAAAAGCTGGCTTACTGAATATAACAGGATGATGAATATCTTAAGGTAACCAATGGTCACCACTAACTTTGTTTCCAACTAGAACTCAAGTCATGCTGTGTCCTGAGACAATGACAGATTCTCTTCTTTTTACTTAAGACTCCTTATGGCTTATGATAAGAGGTTTGAGACACAAATATTTAAAAATAAATTCCTCAAATCTTGTGCTTTAGATACCCAAAATTCAAGGAAACTGAAAATAATATACCAGATTAATTGACCATTCATTTTGGTTAGTATGACTCTTTCCTCATCAGTTTCTAGAGCAATCTCAGAAAAAAAGTGAATTGTAAAAAGCCATTAATAATTTAACATATAGTATCCAGGTAGACCACAAAAAGTTATGAAATAGAGGGGGGGGGCGTGTTAGAGATCAACCAAAGGACTTGTTTGCATGCATATTAGCATAACCAATGTACACAGACACTGGGTCGGTGGGGGCTTGCCTGGGGTGGGAATGGCTGTGGAGGGTCAATTGGATAAAAAGGAGACATATATAAAATTATGACAATAAAAATAAATAAATAAAATAAAATAATCTAAGATAAAAAATAACATCTAAGTAGGTCTTACTCACTGCACTCATGCATCTACTGCTCAAGAAATTCACCTTATAAGCTAAATTCTTATAGATATGAGTGAAATTCAAATGTTACTTTCAGTGCTCTTTATGACATCTTTGTTCCAACCTGAGTTAAAAAAAAAAAAAAGGTTTAGAAAGAACCTGTAAAAGCCATTTAGCATATCCTATAATAAATTTTTATTCTCTTAAAAATAAAAATCAAATTGAAGGCTTCATAACAATTCCTGCCCAAGTTTTTAAATCGTAAACTATTCATGTTGTCTTTTTTTTTCCTTTTTTCTTAAAGACCCTTATTCCCTCCTATTTTATCCTTCCTGGAGATGGAGAACAGTTTGTTATATTCCTTCTTAATTTAAGTTGTTCAATAAAAGACTCAATAACTTATGATTTATTAAACTATCTCAACAGCTTTCTCCTCTCCAGAATTAAATGATCTTATTTTTTTTAAAAACTTTTTCCTCAGAGGTCTTATTTTCCAATCTATATTTTATTCCTTTTCATTTCTGCTTTATCCCCTCCCCAGTTCCCATATGTTCCTAAGAAACAGCCTTCTCTCAAAAACTGATCAGTAAGAGGGGTTCTTTTTCTCAGGCCTTAAAACATGGCCTCTTTAGTGGTCACCAATAAAAGAAAACAAAGGTTCACTACTCATTCATCGTCACAACAAATAAACACAATTAAACAACTTGCCTACAGTCCATTTACTCCCTGTTTTTAGGGTGATAAATTTGCCCTTGACAAAAAGCATTTCCTGTGCTACCTATTGATCTTTCTATTGTTTGCTTATTTCTACTGTTTATTCCCCAACTTATGCTTTAATCTTGCCCCACTAATTCTTTCCTTTCCCCAGAGTTCTAGAAAATCCCAGTTTTGATCTGCACACTCAGTGAGGATGCATTCATTTCCATGAGATTGTTTATAAAGAAAAAGATAAACAATAGAGAGACCAAAGTTGAGACCTGCTGGTCAGCACTTCTGTCTGACCTGGTTGGCTGGGGCTACCGAATTTATCCTGTTAGGCAAGTGTACACCCACTACGTCCAGTTCATGCTAAATATCACACTCAAGTAAGACTTGAGAATTTGGCTAGAATCAAATAATTTCCTCAATTTATACACTTAGGGAACACTTGCAAATTTTTATTAATTTTAACTTTGGATTTTTAAATTTTTGAGGTAAGAATCCAAGCTTTAATAACTTTTCACCTTGATTAAGATGACTGAAATGTTGCATTACATTAAAGCACTCAAATAAAGCTGTTCTCTTTACGATAGAATGACAATCATAACATGGCTTTAGAGATTGTAAAGGGCTATTGTATCATTTTAGCTCCACTTTGTTCTTCAGTCAATAAAAAACAGACACTGAAACCAAATATACATATTTTCCATATATATAGCATTGCTCATACCACTTTGTAGAATATAGGCCATTTCCTAAATTAATATCTACATTCCTAAAAGTGCATAAAGCAAAAAATTCTACACACTTCTTTAGTACGAAGCCATTGAAGACAAACTCATTTAGAAATATGGTGCTCTACATTTAGCTATCTGTCTATTATCTACAGTCATACAAGATCCAGCTATATGAAAGGAAGGAAGGAATAAATTAACAATAGTGGCAATACAATAATTTGAAAATTACACTTGGATTATATAAGTTCAACCAAATGTTAGCCAATAGCTACAACAAACCAAACCACGACTTAATAAGTATTCTAATCAGTTCAAATTTATGTCATTACTTTTAGGAAATAAATTCTCTAATACCAGTTATCTTCCATAGGCAATTTGTTTAGAAGATTACACCCAAGACCTTGTTATTGTTACCTCTTAACTATGCCACATGTTTTTAAGTATTCTGTGAGCTATATATAACAGGATACACTTTTAAAAAGGATTGAACAGAGCTCCTCCACTGTCTCTTTAGAAGGCTGCAGAATCAACCAGTGACCTTCCAATTCTTTTTTCCACATTAGAAAAGATAGTTACTCTTGTGATAAGAAATTGTATAGAAGCCAGAAGGATGTTAGGATAAACTGGACATTAGTTTGAAAACATGTAGTTTTAGTGTTTCACAATACCTAAAATCTGAATGTTTTATTTCCTAGTAAAATTGGTATTACTTCATTTGATAAAGGAATTAATCTATTTATATACTTGTAATCCAAATGTTAGACTTTTAAATAAATTGAGCTCTTTTCTCAGTTCAGATCTTTTTCTTGACTCAAAGGCTGTGATAACATTTAATTCTAACATGAAGATGCTTAACTACAGTTACATTGAGTCTGCTTTTATTAATAATTTTATATACATTCATAAGATCTTAAAGTCAGCAAACCTATTTAATATAGAGGAATGCACCTATACAGTTTGAAAGATTTTCCTGAACTGTCTGAAAATTAATGAATTAAATTATATTCAATGCAGGAACACTGTTTCAATTCAAACCAAACCCTGAGAAGGCACTGAGAAATTTGACAAGAACCAAGTTTCTAGGAATATTGCCACTATTGTCTATGTTCAGTAAACGTGGAATTTTAAACACATACAATAAATTTACACTGCACCAGCAGCACTGAAACAGAAGAGCTGGACACCACATTTGTAACACCTGTTCTAAGCTAGAAATGCTAAATACCCTATCTCACGTACTCTAATTTGTAAGTCAATACCTATGATGCAACAATGACACTTTTCCACAGTATTCTGAGAGTAGTGCTGTTTTCTTGCCAATTTTGTGAAATAAATTTCTTAACTAACTCGATAATTATACATTTATCTGCCTATTTTTTTAAAATAAAAACACATGCTATACACAATTACAAGAATATGGAACTAAGCTTACTTAATCACACTCTAATAAGAAAACTCACTTTTGCACAGTTTTGTTTCTGTTAAAGGAAGAATGACATGTTACTATAATACTTTTAACGTCATGACTTTTGTTCAAGATTATGAAAAATTTGAATCATTTTCTCTAGACTGCTTCATATCAAAGTTATATAGTTTGTTTCGTCAGCCAACCAAAAAGAGAAAAATAAAAGGAAAAGGATACTCGGCCAGATGAGATAGAGAGGGAATGCTAACACAAGTTGGATGCATGAAGTTCTTGGCTGCCCTGTTCCATATGACAGCGCAAAGTAATGATGTACGAATGTCCACTAAACAGAACGCCAGATCAGCCCATTTTTACTGGGCTCAAGAAAATTCTCTATCAAAGCTTCAATGAGTTTCTTCAATTCCTCTTCTAGTAAGGCAGTGTCACTGAGGAAAAAAATGAAGAGTTCTGAATTTCTTGAATTTCATAGCCTTAAAATTTTAATTGTTATAACATTTTAAGAAGGCATATGCCTGATGGAATGATTAAACAATTGGTAAACAAAAGAGAAATTTACTCATTTAAACTAAAACAAGACCAAGGGGGGGGGGTGGTTAACACACAAGAAATATCACAAACTGAGGTTGACCTGCATTAAGAGGAGACCCTTGGAATATGATACATGGATGAGTTATAGCACACCTAAAGATTTCTCCTGGGCGAGGCAATTTAATGGCTTAGAACACCAAGACTGGGTATTAAGAGAAATGGCTTCCTGAAACACTTTGAAGAATAACCTGTACAAATACTATGGGATGATACGGCATTGTCTTTCAGGCACCAGAAGGAAGTATCAATATAAGAATGAGATGTTTGAAAAAACAAATGGACACTTACAAGTACATCCTTCAAAGTCATCACCGGAAGAGCTACTGTTGCCCAAAACATTTCCAGAAAAGCCTCTTGTAAACTGCCTTCAGTTATTTTACACGCTACTCAACAAACCAGTTTTTGTTACTTTAATAATCATCCTTCATTTTTATAAACCTTTTTTTAAAATATATTTTTATTGATTTCAGAGAGAAGGGAGAGGGAAACAGAAACATCAACGATGAGAGAGAATCATTGATCAGCTGCCTCCTGCATGCCCCACACTGGGGATTGAGCCCATAACCAGGGTATGTGCCCTGATCAGGAATCGAACCGTGACCTCCTGGTTCATAGGTCGACACTCAACCACTCACTGAGCCTCACCGGCAGGGACATCCTTCATTTTTATACAAATGTAGCATTACCCAATTTGGTTTACTTTAAACTCTGCTCTCTCCACCACCCCTCCCACCCCCGCCACCAAAGAAAACACAAAGATTTAGGGAAATACTAAATACTAAATTAGTATTTAGGTATAATACTAAATACTAATATACCTTGGAGTCAATTCCAAAAAAATCTTCCCAAAAATATATTGATCAATGCCAACACTATAGAAGGTACTACTTTTAATAAGTTTAAATAGCCTTTAATTTTTCTGAAAACCTAAAACTTCTCTAAAAAATTAAGTCCATTAATTTAGAAAAAAACTGCTGAAGGTAAGACATTTTAAAGAAAATTAACAGTAAGACATTTAAAAGAAAATACGCCACAGAATAAATAATTCTGACAAAGGCTTTCTATCCAAAATAAATAACTCACCCAAATAAATAATAATAATAAGGCCAACATCCTAATGAAAAATGGGCAAAAACTTGAAAAAAAATGGACAATAAACACTAATGTTGAGGTGCTTAACATTATTAGTCATAAGGAAAATGCACGGTAAACTATGATGAGATATGGTTTCTCAGCCACTAGCCTGGCTAGAAGTAGAAAGACTAACACCAAATGGTGGCAAGGATATGGAGCAAATTCCATTGCTAGTGGAAGTACAGATTTTTTTAGTGTTTTCTTTCTAGATTATTTTTTTACCCACGAGAAAACATATGTCCCCAAAAAAGACTTGTACAAAGAATGTTCATAAGAGCCCATAACTGGGAACAACCTAAATGCCTTCAACAGAAGGATGAACTGATGTGTGTTTGTACAATAGAGTACCATTCAGCAATAAAAACAGAATGGACTATTCAATATGAATGAGCCTCAGAAACATTATAATGGGCCCAGCCAGTGTTGTTCAGTGGTTGAGCATTGACCTATAAACCAGGAGGTCACAGTTCGATTCCCAGTCAGGGCACATGCCCGGCTTGTGGGCTTGGTCCCCATCATGGGACCTGCAGGAGGGAGCTGTGATTTCTTTCTCATCATTGATGTTTCATCACTATCTCCCTCTCCCTTCCTCTCTGAAATTAAAAAACAACAACACCCAAAACTAAAACCATTATGCTAAAAGATGCCAGTCACAAAGAACCACATACTGTATAATTCCATGTCTATAAAATGTTCAGAATAAGCAGCAAATCTATAATGGGAGAGAGTAGATTGGTGGTTGCCTAAGGCTGGGAGAGAGGGGAATGGGAAGTGACTGCTAATGGATATGGGGTTTCCTTTTGAGGTGATGAAAATGGCCTAAAATTGATTGTAGTGATGTCTGCACAACTCTGAATACACTAAAACTACTGAGTTATATACTTTAGTGGGCGAACTCTTTGATATGTGAATTATATCTCAATAAAACTTTTTCGTATATATTTAAAAAGTCAACTCTCACCTCCGGTCCGGGGATGCGCACATCTCTGCATAATACTTGATCTTTGGTTCTGTCCCACTTGTCCGAAGAGTAGCAACACAACCATTTTGAAAAGTAAATGTAATCATCTGGCTGTTTTTACTCACAGGCAACACCTATGTACAATTGTAACAACAGTTTAATTGCACTTGTTTCAGTTTAGCAAGATGAAAAAGTTCACAAGATCTACACAACAATGTGAAAGTAGTTAACAGTGCTGAACTGTATGCTTAACAATGGTTAAGTTGGTAAAATTTATGTTTTAACTGTTTACCACAATTAAAAATAAAAACTGTTAAAAAGGACTTATAAAATACAAAAAATATTACATACATAATTTACAAATATACCATTTACTGAACATTTATGATACAGTCATTGGATTATATACCTTTCCTTACATACATGGTCTCTGGACCCCAACAATCATCCCGCAAAGTAAATACTACTGCCAATTTACGGGCAAGACTCAGAGTAAAGGACCTGCTCAAGGTCATCAGCTAAGTGGCAGAGCAAGAAGTTGAAGCCAGGTCTATCTGTATCCAAGTCCAAACAGCCTCTACATTTGCCAAGTGCTTTATAATTTTAAAGTACTTTCACAGTTTATTAATTCGCCAGGGCAGAGTGCACCTATCCTCGGGATAGGCACAATAATTCACTGGGGTTCAAAAATTAATATTTTTACCTCAAAATTAAAAGCACAAAAAGAACCAAAGCTTTACTGACAGTAAATATACGGATTAACACTGTTACTCTTCCTAGACCACAGATTGGTCTGTGAAGGCATCTCAAAGGAGCTGTGGGGGCTGCCCTAGGACAGGGGGGTTGGCAGTGGGGCCTTCCCTCAGGGGTCCCTAGTGCGGTCCTCTCCTTGAGGTCCCTCTCTCGGTCAGTGCTACTGCCATACACTAGTTCCTAAGGCAGAGACCTTCCTCCCTGCTTTTTCACTCACAGAACATCAACTCGCAAGTCCTGTCTATTCTATCCTTTATTTTACTCAACTTGGTCCACTTCCCTCCATCACTACGGCTACTGTTAAGTTCTGGCTCCCATTCTCTCTCATGGAAACAGTGTACTAACGGATCCTCCTGCCTGGACATTTGCCCCTCTCAACCCACTCACCACACTATAGAGAGCTACTTGTGGTTGTTGTTGTTGTTTTTTTAATTTAAACCTTTTGGTGTATGGGTGATGCTGCAACCAACTAAACCACCCGTCTAAGGTTACTTGTGGTTCTTTATATTTTTTATTATTTTTTCTTTTATATATCTTTATTGATTTCAGAGAGGAAGGGAGAGGGAGAGAGAGATAGAAACATCAATGATGAGAGAGAATCATTGATCGGCCACCTCCTGCACGTCCCCAACTGGGGATCGAGCCTGCAACCCAGGCACGTGCCCTTAACCAGAATCGAACCTGGGACCCTTCAGTCCGTAGGCCAACGCTCTATCCACTGAGCCAAACCGGCCAGGGCACTTGTGGTTCTTTAAAGGAGAAGATGTCTTCTCACCTCCAGACCTAGCACTTGCTGCTCCCTTTGCCTGAAACACCCTCTGTTCCTCCTACGTTTGGATAGCTCCTACTCTAGAACACAGCTCAACGAAGTCCTCCAGAAAGTCTTCCACAAGCGCCCCCGATTCTGAGTAAGGGCCCTTCCTATGCTCTTCCATGGCTCCCCTTGCACCCCCTGGTAGCACTTATCATTCTGTAAAGTAATCACTGTTTACTTGTTTGTTTCCCCACTGGACTCTGAGTGCAGAAACAGTGCCGTTGTCATTGCTGTATCCCAAGCATGCCCGTGCCTGCAGCACAGACGTGTTCTGATAAACGCCTGCTGAAAACACGGATGAATGTCAATCTGAGTTCGTGGAGAAGAGCGAACTCAGGAAGTCTTTGATTCGAACTTAGGGGATTAACCATATCTATACTACTAAGCATCAGTGAGAAACAGATAGAAAAGCCCTTTGATTAACAAATATACACTTTAAAGCAGCAGTCACCAACCTTTCAGACCTCAGGACCACCAGTGGTCCGCGGACCACCAGTTGGCAACCGCTGCTTTAAAGGGAGTTAAGAGGGAAAAAAGCAAAACACAAGAACTACGATAAGCATAGCAACAATAGAAAAACAAAAAGAAGCAAAAAAATTGGTTCTTTAAGTAGTTTACAAAGACACAAAAATAGATACACACATACGTGCACATGCACACAATACCAATGACTGGGGACCAATATTTGTTGACTGGATGTATATACACAAAGAGAATATGGGTAGTATTCTCCACAAGAGGCTACAGTTTCCCCAAATATATCATGTCCCTAGATTCAACATCAGAACAATTATAAATGAAAATTTAGGCTAATAACAACAATAACTATGATCATGCCCTTGAGTCAGAAAGTTTGCCCACCCCTGGGCTAGAATCTTGAGTCAACATCAGAACAATTATAAATGAAAATTTAAGCTAATAACAACAATAACTAAATATGATCAGCAAATATTTGTTGAGCACCTACCATGTAGGCAGGACATTGAGAGGCATAAAGGTACATCAGAAATGGACCTGCCATGTACAACACGGATAACATAAAACAGGAAGTGGTGAATGACAAGAGGAATGAATATGTAATGAAACCTCAGGAGAAAGCTATTTGCTTATGGGACTTGGAGGGGACTGTGGAAGAGGTGACATTTGCCTTAAGTCTTGCATATGGCTAAGGTGTAGACCTGCAACAGCAGGAAGAAGAGGCAGACTGAAGACATAGCTTGAGCAAAAATAGATAAATTTTTTTTAAGTATATATGCAAGAAACTATACATTGTTCTATTTGGCTAGAAGTATAGGGAATAAAGTTGTAAAGGGAGATTACAACTAGAAAGATGGGTAGCTTTGAAATTAGAGGCTTTTGGACTTCATTTTCAACATTATTTATTTAGCATCATCGCACATTCTCCCTCCCTTCTTCCTTTTCTCTTTGCCTTTCTCATTTTTGTTCTCACCTCTCCAGGCCCAGAGGGTAGCATACACTTGGGGAGTGATAAGACAGGATCAGAGTCAGAGAGCCAATTAGTGGACTTACAACAGCTCTGGGGCAAAGCAATGGATCCTAGTTTCAGGAAACTAATTGGCTTGAACTTCCTCTATTTTGCCCTAGTATGAAGTTAAAAACTGTTAAAAACTGTTTTCTGTTGTGTGTGTGTGTGTTTTTTTTTTTGTTTTTTTTTTAATATATTTTATTGAATTTTTACAGAGAAGAAGGGAGTGGGATAGAGAGTTAGAAACATCGATGAGAGAGAAACATCGATCAGCTGCCTCCTGCACGCCCCCTAGTGGGGATGTGCCTGCAACCAAGGTACATGCCCTTGCCCGGAATCGAACCCGGGACCCTTGAGTCCGCAGGCCGACGCTCTATCCACTGAGCCAAACCGGTTTGGCAGTGTGTTTTTTTTTAAAGGTACTTACTGATTTCTTATTAGGCTGGCTGCTGTCATATCCAGTGGTAACGTCTCGTGTATGCAATATAGCAAATGTCCCACAAAATTTTGGATATTCTTTTGGAGAATCAAAATTACGAAGCCTTTCAAATATACTTTTGATGGTATTTGGATCATAACACAAGAAATATGAAGTTTTTGAAATATGATAACCATACCTGCACACAAAGATTTAAAGTGTTAAAATCAGCTTTCAGATAACTCTTTAGAAAAGTATATATTAAAGATTATAGTATTATGTAGAAAGTGGCAGTCCTTAACTCGGACAATTTTAGCACTTTTAAAAAAGGATCGACTATTTCTCGAAAACAAGTTTAGCTGAAAGTAGGACAAAGAAAAACTTAGCATGTGAAATTCATAATAGTAGGACTTACTTTTCATAAACCTTAACCAGTTGCTGTTTCAATGTCATATTCGTGGTTTCCAGGTAAGCTGCCATCTCAGCAACAACAGCCGCTGCACTCACCCCATCTTTATCCAAAACGGAAGTTCCACACAGAAAACCTGCCAATTGAAAAAAATCTTTAAAAAAGAGGAAAACGTAAGCCTGTAATAAGTTCATTAGTTTTACATTTCTTCAGCAGGACCAACGAATTTAAATCCTAGTAATAAATGAAGCACATTGACACTGAAGGTATTTAGGGGACCTTTAAGGGTCTTTTTTTTTTTTTTCTGATGAGAAATGTACCTACACATTTCTGAATGCTCTTTGGTTTTTACCACAACTCAGAATACAAAACCAGAAGACAAAAATTCCTCTCTATAGAATCACTACATTAAAAAAAAAATGCCCTCATTCAAATTTCAAAGGTTTTAATATTTACTACATACCAATAGACTCTTCAAATGCAAAAAGGACTTCTTTCCCATTTTCCAGGAGGTCTTTTATCCTACTTCCAATCCATTTAAAACCTGGTAATGTTTCCTGAAATGCAGAGGAGGCCACTCTTGTTAAGTGACTCTCTCATAACACATATTAGAGAAAAGCAGGTCACTAAATGCACTACATGACACTCTCATAGTGATCGCCTGTTATGGCTTTTGGCCCATAAAGATTTACATAGTGGTAAACATGTAGTCATAAAGTGCACGGACACATGCACCGCCACAACTGATGACCTACTATTTATCAAGTACAGTAATAGGTGATTTACGCCAAATATAATCCAATATATACAAGTGGTGATGCATATAGTCACAAAAGAACATGTTATGACCACCTACTATTTACACCACAGTGTAACAAGTGCTTTACATCACTATCTTTTTAATGCTCACAAAAACCCTGTTGCTGAAACAGGCTCAGAAGTCCAGTAACTTTGCCCAAGATTATGCTGCACTTAAGAGATGGAGGCAGGATTCAACTGCACTGCTTCTCAGAACCTGTCCTATAAGCTGTATTAAAAGCACTAGGATAAGAGCACTTATGAAGGTTGCGATTTATTCCCCTTGAGTAATCGAAGGCCATAAAGCTTTTTAATGATGCACTTCCAATATTATCACAACATATGCCTGAACCAAGTGTTCTTTACCATAACACCACGTTCTTCTTTGGTAATTAGATTTGAGGACTTTTCATCTGATTAGCTATTGTTCCCTTCGTAGACATGAACTGTTTTAGAGTCAACAGAAAGGGCATCTGATACACACTGACTCTAGAGCTCAGCATTACCAACTTAAGATTCCTAATTCACCTCTCTACCTCCTCACTGGAAACATAACATAACAAACATAACATAACATAACATAACATAACATAACATAACATAACATAACATAACATAACATAACGTAACGTAAAAGTCAAAATCATCTGCCACCCCTATTCACAACAACAACAACAACAACAAGGAAGTAAATTTATAATATTGGTCTTTAGAATCATTTCTTTTTTCTCTTTTGTGCTCATTATACATTTTTCTTGCCATAAATATAAAGGATAAAAACGTTAACATTACTTGTAATTCAGAATCTTAGGCTTAAATAAAATTTCATTTTTTTCTATTTTGCTATTTGTATTTTAGAAAGTCTGAGGTTGAAAGCTCTGTTTTATTAAGACAAATACAATTTTCTTTTACTCAGACAATTAATGTTAAGACCCGTAGCTTGACTGTGGCTCAAGAAAAATGCCCAGAGGTGACATTTGCACTAATACTTGGCAAAGATGGCAGAGGAAAAGCAACCTCATTGACATTAGTCCCAGTGGCAGTCAGCTTAGTCAACTGCCTGAGGCTCACAAAGGTTAGTGATCTGTGCTGAGAGAGAGGCATCATTTTTTTTGGATGTAGAATCTCTGGATCTTAACTTGCAATTTAGAAGACTACTTAAAGTTTCTTAAGACTGAACTTGAAGAGCCTACACAAGTGGTCCCGGACACCTACAATTTTTTGGAATGGATTTTATGTTATTGATGAAGCCAGGAACCAGGTTTTCCTAGTATGGAAACCAGATATTATTGTATGGAATAATAAGCATTAATGCAATTTCTAAAGAACACCTAATCTTAGTTTCAGAAATTCACACACTGGATGAATTTGGCTCAAGTGTCTAAGCTATCAAAAAGATTAAATGTTAACAAAATTAGAAAAAAAGTGGGAATCATAAATGAAATTGATAAAAGTCCGTTTTGATGAGGAGATGGCTTTAATTTATAGAAATAGGTTTAGAAAAGTGGCACACAGGTATTATCTATTCTTACTTCAAAATGAAATCCTTCTTTAAGTGCAATTGCCTTCAAAATTTTGGAAGAGACTGTGGTGGCTAACATGTAAATGTTCTTCACATCAGCATTTCCGGATTTACTTTTCTTCCAGCAGTCAAACATCCACCACCCAAACAGAGCTGCCAACTCATTTCCTGAGAAAACTTTCCAGTGACCACTGCAGGGAGAATAAAAACTCAAGTCAGGAACTTTATAACTTCTCATTAAAGCTTCTTGACCCCCAAGACCTACAAATCATCAACCCAAACACTACTGTATGGACTTTTTGACCAAACATTTATGACTACTTTTCTAACTGACCAGGGGTGAGCTTACAGTAGAAATGGTAGCAATGTCTTTTGAAAAATTGTTACCTTTATTATCCTATTTAATTAGAAAAAAGTTAATAGAATGTCCTTTCTACGTAAAGACAGTTGTCACAACATTATAATAGCAAAAATACATAGCAACTCAAAGGACCAAGATTAGGAAAAGATCACATTGATAAGCAATCTGTTGTGATATTATGCCATTTTAAAATTTAATATTTTAAACAGTAATTAAGGACAGGGGAAGATGCTCACAGTATGATATTAAATAGAAAATAATCTACATAAAATTATATACATGGTGGGGTAAAAGTAGGTTTACAGTTGTTCGTATGGAAAATAATACAATCATTAATAAATAATACAAGAATAAAGTGTTTTTCGTACTCTCAACTATAAACCTGCTTTTAGCCCATCCTGTGTAGTATGGTCACAATTTTGCAAAAACAAATATATCTTAAATATTTGAGTACAAAAAACATAGAAAGAAAATGTTAAAATATCAACCTAGGTGTTTATTTCTGGATTGTGGCCTTACAGGAGATGTATTTTCTTATTTTTAAAATTATTTCCAAGAAGCCTAGTTGACTTAAAAAAAAAAAGTTCATCAAAAGTTAAGCTTTTAATCAAATAACAGGTCTACTGACTTCTCCTGAAGCTCTGCCACCGCCAGTCGGTCTGCGTCGGGGTCTGTGGCGACCACTACCCGGGCATTTTCCTTCTCTGCCAGCCTCAAAGAGAGTTCCTGCAACAGTGACCCAAAAGGCTGGATTGCATTGAGGACATTCAATTCAATGTTAATATTCCTAAATGTAGGCACTATGCCAGTCATATGAATTTTAGAAGGAATACAGTTCAGCCAAATTTAAAATAAGCCTGGAAGTAGGAATATCTACCATAGAGATTTCAAACAAAACAGAACATATGGCTCCTATATAATTTAAAAGATGTAAACTAAAGTGGTTTCTGCTTTTTTGAATCTTTGAATTGTCAATGAGTTCTATCTATTTGATGAAGTTTAATACACTAATAATAATTTAAAAATAAAAGAAAGATACCAGCACAGATTCTCCCTCTTCAGGATTTGGGCACTTTACGGTAGAAAAGTCTGGGTCAGGATCTTTTTGTTCTGGTACTGGAATTGGAGGTTTAAAACCAAACACTTGAAAAGCCAACTGCACATAGTCATGTCCAACCCCATGAAAAGATGAATGTACAAATTTCAAGGTGGTCTTTGAGTTTAATTCCCTGTAAAGAAAAATCATCATTCAATCAATCTAAAGCTCATTACTTGGGATATAATTAAAACAAGCTATAGAAAAAGCTAAAATTGGTTTTGTAGGATAGGGAAAATATATTCAGCAAGCCAGGATGCTTTCTAGCAATTGTGTTAGCTATTTATGAAGTAGTTATGAAAATATGGACATAGAAAAGGCAAAATAAATTTTTAGAGAAAATTCCTTAATCTTATCCAGAGAGAATACATATATTTAGCTACACTTTTTTTGATGACCTTACTGAGAGATAATTAATATACTATACAATGTATCCATTTAACGTGTACAATTCAATGGCTTTCACTATATTCCGAGTTTTTCAACCATTATCGTAATCAATTTTAGAACATTCTCATTGCCCCCAAAAGAAACTGCATACCCCATAGCTGCCACTCTCTAACCCTCCCATTCCTCCCAGCCATTGGTAACCACTAATGTATTTTCTGTCTGTTTCTGTCTCAATAGATTTGCCTACTCTGGACATTTCATATACATGGAATCATACAATATGTGGTCCTTGGTGACTGGCTCCTTTCACTTAGGATAATGTTTTCAAGGCTTATCTATGCTGCATTTTGCATTAGTATTTCATTTCCTTTTACTACTGGATAATATTTCATTGTTTGGATATATCATATTTTATTTATCTCTTCATCAGTTGATGGATATTTAGGTTATTTCCACTTTTTT